TCTGTGTTCTTCACAATGTTGCCTGTTGGTCCCATTGCAAGGATTTTTGTTTTCTTTATGTTGAGGTGTAATCCATGCTGGAGACTGTAGTCTTCAATCTCCATCAGGAAGTGCTTCAAGTCGTCTTCCTCTTCAGCAGGGAAGCTTGTGTCGTCTGCATGTCATAGCTTAATGAGTTGATGTGGTCAGTGCCCATTACGACTTTTGTCGGCTCTTGTGGTTAGAGAAAAGCCACACCGCAATCTCGGAGGCTCCATTGTTCAGAAATAGTGGGTAAGCAGCCTGTTACACTTGTGATTTCCTCCAGGCAGGGGCAGGGTTTGATGTGGCTGAGGTGACAGGCTTTGTGGGCAACAAGGGCAGGTGAGAATCTGGGCTCCAGCACGTTCGAGCTGCATGGGCAATCTGTGAAATGGGACGAGTGATGGCAGGAAGAGGACCAGCTACACAGAGTGTGGTCATGTGTGAAGCCATCCAGAGCCCAGAAGGGATCTCAGGGCCCACGTGCTTCAGGGTCTCCACCCTGAGGGCCTGGGATTCCAGAATCTTCTCAATCACAGGATAGCTGGCCCAGGACAGACGATGAAACCCACCATGTGTGTCCAACTGAAGCCGTCCACATGCTGACAATATACCCCCCAGGGGAAAATAAGCGGCAAATCGGGGCCCGGAGCACCTGTGTATGGGTCTTGACTTAATGTTTAAGGAAGTCTTCATCCTAATCTGTGATTAGGAACAATGTGAACTTGAGCTTCTCCATTTGCCTGGTCCTACTCACCCCCTGGCCTCCATACTCCTTCTCTTGGGCCTGATTCAAGATGAGGAAAGAGAGGCCAGACAAGAGGGACAAGAGCAGTGTACAGTGGAGTCCATGTGACCTGCCTCCCAACTCGGGCTGGCCACCACCTGCAGGGTTCTGGAGCTGGTGTCACTACTTCAGACACAAGTAGGACTCCTAGGTGCAGCATGTCTTCTGAGAAGGTTTTGTCGAAAAAATTTGTGGTGAACTCCAACACTCTACCTACCTACCTCTCCCCCATCATCCATACCGATCATCTATGATGGCGACTATGTGGATCATAACAGATTATGGATAACACTGAGAAGAATGGGAATTCCAGATACTTCATTGTGCTCGTGAGGAACCTGTACACAGACCAGGAGGCTGTCGTTGGAACCGAAGAAGAGAATACTTCATGGTTAAATCAGGAAAGGAGTGTGTCAGCGTTGTCTTCCCTCACCATACTTATCCAACCTGCATGTTGATCAGATCATCTGAGAAGCTGGACCATAGGAACAAGAACGTGGCAGCAGGGTTGGAGGAAGACTCATTAACAACCTGCAATACGCTGGTGACACAGCTTTGCTCGCTGAAAGCGAGGACGACTTGAAACACGTACTGATGAAGACTGAAGACAACAGTCTGCAGTATGGATTACACCTCAATATAAAGAAAACAAAAATCCTCACAACTGGACCAATAAGCAGCAGCATGATAAATGGAGAAAATTGAAGTTGTCAAGGACCATATTACTTGGTTCTACAATCAACACTGATGGAAGCAGCAGTCAGTATATCAGACGACACACTGGACTGGGCACAACGTCTGTAAAAGACCTCTTTCAAGTGGTGAAGAGTAAAGATGTCTCCTTGAGGACTAAGGTGTGCCTGACACAAGCCATGGTATTTTCAATCGCCGCATATGCATGTGAGAGCTAGACAGTGAATAAGAAAGACCGAAGAAGAGTTGGTGCCTTTGAGTTGTGGTGCTGGTGAAGAACGCTGAAAGTACCATGGACTGCTAAAAGAACTAACAAATCTGTCCTGGAGGAAGTGCAGCCGGAATGCTCTTTGGAAGTGAGACTGGCCAGACTTTGTCTCACCTACTTTGGTCATGTTGTCAGAAAGGATCATTCCCTGGAGAAGGATGTCATGCTTGGTAAGGTGGAGGGTCGACGAAAGAGGGGGAGGCCCTCAATGAGATGGACTGACACGGTGGCTGCAACGATGGGCTCAGGTACAGCAAGGACCGTGGAGCTGGCACAGGACCAGGCAGTGTTTCGTTCTGCTGTGCATGGGGTCGCTATGAGTCGCAGCCGACCTGACAGCACCTAACAACAACAACAAAATGATGTCTGTCATCTGTGTCATCTCTCATCCACACTGCTTCTAAGTCCTGTCAGCTAGCCCTGTGACCGCTCCATTCATCACCTCCATCTAGCGATCACCTGGACTCTCTGCCATCTATAATCTGTACCCCTTCCTTCCTCTGTGGCTAAAGAATAACATTAACGTCATTCATGCTCGAGTCCAGCCCTGCAGAAGGAGTGGTCCCAACACCTCCTCAGTTTCATACCCGGAGTCACCAGATTGTCCTGTCCCAGAGCACAAGCCTGGGGCAGGGCCCACTGTACCCATCAGTGTTGTCCCCCAGCCCCAGGCCTACGTTAGGCTCAGGGCTGATAAAAGCATGAGCTGGCTTTTCCCACTTGGGGCTGAAGGGGACTCCTGTCTGAGCCCACAGCCACCTCCCTTTCCCTAGCAGCCTGGCTCTCTGCTCTGCTCTGATGCTGACCCGTGGACCTCCCGAGCCTGAGCTCTTTCCCCCACCTCCTCCTGAGGTACCACAACCCTCCAGGACTTGGCAAAGTCTGTGCAGGTGTCCTAGAGGCTGCAGGATCTTCTAAGAGGAAGAGAAAGGCTTCAGACCCACCTGGAGCCTAGGTCACCTTTTTGCAAAAGCTAGAACTGGCCCTGGGAGCGGGACATTTAAAAGCAGGAGCAGGAGAAAGAGTAGGTACCTGGTGAAGACCATCACAGCCGCAGGACCACATGGAGGGTTCCAGGGATGACGGACAGGCAGCAGAGCCTCATGCCACCTCCCCCACGGGGAGGCTCCAGACTTGCTTCCCAGGGGCTGGAACAGTGTGTGGAACAGAAACCTCTGATGGCCAGGCTGCTGTTCTGCTTCAGAGGGAGGAAGCCCAGGACTAGGCCTCATTCATAACCCTTCCAGGGCTTTGGTCCTCCTCTCCTGATAACAGGCAAGTGCCTGGTCTTTCCCTTAGAACGCTCGCATGCGGCTTCACCATTGGCTGCTCGGTAGGGGAGGAGGTAATGCATTTTTCCTCCCCAGCTGTGGCTCTCCACCACATCTGTTCAGCTTTGAAGAGTAGGAATGTTTGGTTAGGGTGTTTTAGCACCTTGGGCCATCTCCTAAGGAAATCATTCATTCACGTGCATACATTCAACATGGCTTTGTGGTTTCCAGCCCAGAAACAGGGCTGAAACCACAGGGCGAGGAGGACAGCTTCCCTCCCGAGCTGTCACCAGGGCCTGGCACCTGGCACATGCTAGCTCCCTATAGAGTTGCCGAATGAGTGAAGCACTGGAGCCCTCCTAGGCACCCAGGACACCCCAAGCAGCGCAGGCACAGATGTGTGGCTGGGAGATTGCTTCTGTTATCCATCAACGTGGGGCTGGGACTGAGGTAGCTCGGTGCCCCTTCTGCCCACCTGCCATGCTGCGCCCAGCGAACGCTAGGCCCCACAGGCCTTTCTTCTCTCAGGCTGGGACGCGGGCCCTTGGCCGTGTATTTGCGTGTTCTCCCTTCCACCTCGGGTACGGTAACGCGAGAGCGCCATTCGCTCCCTCCCCCACCCTAACCAGGCCTGAGGCCGAGGCCCCGAGATGTCGGGAGAAGGCGTGGCCCCATCACTTCTCATCCCATCGCCAGGGCGGCCGGCCCTCTGTGAGCTCACGGCAGCTCACGGGCCCCGCGAGGCGTCACTGTTACCCCGCCTCCGAGGCGGCCAGGCTCAGAGAGGCCAAGCGCGCCGCCCAAGGTCACACAGCAGGCGGCCCACGGCCAGGCTCGGAAGCGGGCCCTCCCGCCGCCCGAGTCCCGTTCCGGCGGTTTTCGAAGCCGCAGCTCCCCTCCATTATGACGCCCGAGGACTAGACGGCAAGGTCGCGCGCCCAACTTCCACCCCAAAACAACACTCCACGCAGCCGTGTGGAACAAAAGCCACGGCGGGCCACGCCGGGTTTTGTGCCTCGCCGGCCTCCGCCGACCAATCCGCGCTCACGAGTGGTCGCGGGGCGGGAGGGGGCGGGCCCAACGTGATCGACAGCCCTCGGCGAGGCGGGCCCACCGCGGCGACGAATCCGATTGGCGAGCCCGGACAATCACGGCGCAGACAGAACGGCCCGGGCCAATCAGCGGGGGAGGCGGGCCCGGCCGGCCCGGGCTGTCGCGAGAGGCGGCCACCCCGCCC